ACACAGCTAGACAGTGACTAAATCAGGACAAACACATGACTGGCTTTCCCGATGTGCTTACCGTTCTGCCACAGTAAATTCCATAAACACAGACTTTTCCTTAATTAGACAGGAGCAGTTGAGAGGGCCATGCCTTCTGGGAAGACTGGAAGGTGAGAAAAACAAAAGGGAATGCACCAACTTAATTAACTGCTATAACTGCAGGGAATTTTGCCATTTCCTGTTTAGCATTCCTTCTTCCGGGTTATTTGTATGCCAGAAAAATCACTTCTATGCTGAATTTGGTGTTGGCACCCTTTAAGACTCTTGTTTCTACATAGTGTTGTAAATGCCTCACTGATGTAAATTTTCCCCCTGAAATATTGAGGTAGAGTTTCTATTTGCTTAAGTACAAATTAAGTCGGGAAAGGAAAACCTTCCCCAATCAGAGTCTGTGGTGTTATTAATACACTGTTTTGCACCATAGTAATCAGTTGATGTGTTTGCTTGCTCAAGATAGAACTTGGGTCTCCTGGCTGGGAGTTTATTGCTCGCTTATGGAAAGATTCCACAGTTGGAGCAGGTGTGTTTATAATTATACTCTAGGAAATAGAATACTGTCTGTTTATAAAAGAGGAATGTTCTGGCAGCCACTCAGATTCTTTGAAAATTCCCTGAAGAAGCAACTGTGGATCCCCCTCTGCGTTGTTCCCCTGGCAACCGTCAGTGCCGGGACACTGATGCCCTGTCCCCAGCCCCTCAGGCTGGTGGATCTGGCCCTCTCAGCAGAGATGCCTCCTTGGCCTTTGTCGTTGATGCTGTTCTGGAAGCTACCGCAGCTCCCGTGGTTTCTCCCCCACCAAGCCGTTTGCCGGTGTGTACTCCTGGAAACCTGCAGCCCACAGCTGGAGGTCTGCAGAAGCTTAATGAGAGTTCATGCTGGCCCAGGATGAGGGCAGGGCCTCACATCTGAACTGCACACCCATGCTCCAAAGTCTAAATGTGGTAGGGAATAGCCCCAAGGCTGTGTAGGGCCTGCCCAGCGGCCCATTGAGGAAGGGCCACCACGCTTTGATCATAAAGGCCACTTGATGTGCAATTAATGACTTGAAAAAAAGCACAATGCCTACTGAGGCCCTGTCCGTGCTCTGAGAAAACAGGGTGAAATGAGGACAGAGGTGTAGATTTCCTGCAAGAAAAGTGCATGGTATGGGGTCTTCCCCGCTGCCTTCTAGAATAAAATTTTGTTTGAAACCAGGAAAAGGAAGGGTTGTTTGCTTTTTGGCAAACAAAGAAGCAGAGTCTCCATCCTTACCGCCTGATTTTTCTTAATCCCTTGGGGCTGGGGTCGGGGGACAGATGGGGTGGAGGAGAGAGGGAAACTCCTTGTGTTGGTGTACCTTCCGCTCAGAGCTGGACGAATTGTTATGCATGTGTACACCAGTGTGGCCACCACCTAAATCAAGATACAGAATGTTTCCATCACCCCAGAAAGTTCTCTCCTCTAGCCATTCTTGGCTTGAAACAGTTACCAGCTGGTGCTAAAGACATTGGTTTACATGACTAATATTTGAGTGCCTGTTACGTCCAGGGGATTTGGATTCAGTGGTGCCCCAAATGGGCACAGTGTCTGCCATTCTGGAGATTACAGTTTTGTGGGGGCAAACGGATAATAATATAGGTTCGTGCAAGATGACAGCTCTCAACCATGAGACACATTAGAAAGGAGAAGCTCATGGAATCCGGGGACTTCTACCTAAGCAGGGAGGCCAGGTAGCAGCTTAGGAGATCAGGTGATGACAGGTGAGTGGCCCCAACAGGTAATCATGTGAATTACTTTCCTAAGCTTTAAAGCGCTGCGCTAATCAAACAGAGAGTTCTGGCGAAGTACTCCCGAGGTGGTGAGCAGAACAGTAATCCGCCTAGTTTTCATAGACGTGTCTGTAGAAAGGATTGGTGTGTTTAGAAAGCGTGTACTGTAGTTCAATGGATGTGTCTGTTTCTACATTTTTGAGATGTGATTCCCATTGAATCACTGCCTCCTTGGAACTGTGGAATCTCTGGAGCCATTGGTGCTAGCTAGCAACTTTGCCCTCCTGCATTGCAACAAAAAAGCTAAATTCACATTCCAGCTACTCAGGGCAGCTGCAGCCTGCATATGTTAACTCCTCAACTTCTACCTTGAGCTGCTTCTGCAGGCAAAAGATGCCATTGTAAAATTCAGAGAGGGGGGAAAGGGAGAAACACAGAATGATTAAATTTCACCTTCAGGGGGCGTTCTCATGACGCCCAACCCAGGGTGGAGGTGTCCTACTTTTTTACATTGCTGTGAACTGCTGGGTTGGGTACCTGCCAGTGTTCAGGCAGCAGTTACATAAGAGCTGCTTTTTTTCCTGGAATTTAGGCTCACTGCTGATGTGTGACCTTCAGCAGTAATTGCCAATAAATGCAGTAGGGCTGTTTACTGTTAGACACTGGCAACCACAGAGCAAACTCAACTCAGAACATACAGAAGCTATTGCAGAATCAGTGGAGATATATATATATATATATGTATATCACTGAGATTATTCCATAATGACTGAAGTTGTATAATTTGGTCATGTCAGAATGTGTTTTTAAAAAATGAACTTTGCTATTGACTTCCGATGAGCTCGTTCTATAAAATGTAGGTGAAACCACATTGTTGGAGCTAAATAATTTTTGCTTAGTTCTGTTTCTAAAAACAAATACAGTTAGTAAAGATAGTTGTCTCAGCAGATAGGAAGACTTAAAGTTGCTCTACTGAAATGCTAGATAACTTCTATTTTAGCTCAATTTTCTTTAAAGCTTTCTGTTTTCTTGGTGTGGGTTTTCAGAGGCTCATGCAGGACCGGACCCAGCAAACATATTTGTAAGCCTGTTCGCTATTTGTTTGTTGGTCTCCTCTGAGGTTGTGAGTGAGTGGAAAGGAACTCTGAAGACTGATTCAAGGAGCTGGAGATACAAATTGTCTTTGATTTGCTGATAACTAGATCTGTGATACAGTTACATTTTTTGAATTGCATTCAGTTTCTATCAGGGTAGTCATAGAAAGAGACATCCCATTTCAAAGGAAAATTCTAGAGACCCCAGGGTAGGAGGGGGATTCCTGCTGAGGGCAGTAGAAAACAAAGGGTGTTTGCAGGCCGCGATCTGTGCTGGTCTGTGATAGGCACACATGAAGCGGATGGATGGATGTGGGTGCTTGCAATTGTGCAAACACCAGAAATAGTCACCTTAGGAAGTCTGTGTGCTCCTTTTCATTTAAGAATGATAAAGTATAATTTTCTTCATTTATAGTAGAAACTCGTTCCTTGATAAAATGCTAGGTACATTATGTGTTGCAAGTGAGTAGATCCGTGTCGTATATGCATATATTCAGTTACTACCCAAGGTACCATAATGAGGGCCTGATTCATGGCCTCATGCGGGAAGGACACTTAAGATTCAGAGACTTGAGACGCAGTTTGAATTTCTATTTCAAAGCCAGTCATTGGGAGTTATTTTTCTATTGTTAGGTTTTGCTCACCTTGCCTAAAAACACTGGGAAGACTTAAGATTGCAGAGTAAATATGAAGAGGCAGTAGGGGGCACTAGTTGGTTTCTAAGCTCAAAACCAGACCACATCAGATCGCTATGAATCACCTGTTGACTGGCTTTGACTGGAGGTGCCAGCACCTGAATGTAGTGACTGGTCCTGGGACTAAGCAGGAATACAGAACATGGGAATTTCAGACAGCCCATGCCCTCAAAACATTCCTCGTGAATACATGTTCAATGAGGGCTTCACCTTTCATGTAAAAAAAAAAAAAAAAATAGTGACAATAAAAATATAATTCCATTTATTCACTTATTAAACATTATCTTTTGCTTGGGGTATTATACATTGTATTTATAAAGATCTTATTTGAACATACATATCCTATTAATGTGCTTATATTTATTGAAATTACAGCTTATTGCTGTAAAATAACCTTATCCTCAAGGAAACATAGCCAACATTCTTATAGGAGGAAGTGCTAGTATAGGCTATTGGTGGTTTTACCAACTTAGATACCACGTGTGGCCTGGCCCCTTCCATGCCTGGAAACATTTTATGTCCCAGCGGGTTGGATTATTCAGGGAACTTGCCGGCTAGATATTGTGAAATGAAGTTTACTGAAAATAAACCAAGGATTAATTAGTATTTTAGCTAGAAGGAATCCTAAAGAATATTTGCAGCCATGCGCGGTGACTCACACCTGTAATCCCAGCACTTTGGGAGCCTGAGGTGGGCGGATCACTTGAGGTCAGGAGTTCCAGATCAGCCTGGCCAACACGGTGAAACTGCGTCTCTACTAAAAATACAAAATTAGCTGGGTGTGGTGGCGCATGCCTGTAATCCCCGCTACTCAGGAGGCTGAGGCAGGAGAATTGCTTGAACCCTGGAAGTGGAGGTTGCAGTGCGCCAAGATCATGCCACAGCACTTCAGCCTGGGCGACAGAGCAAGACTCCGTCTCAGAAACAAACACACAGAAAAAGAATATTTGCTTTGTCCTCCTTGAATAGGTCAGGAGCTGAATGCCCAGAGACGTTCAGTGACTGGCTCAGGGCCACACAGAGCGCCAGAGCTAAACCCTGGATGAGCCATAGTCACAGGATGCTCATGCAGCGCTCTGGGGTTTTCCAACCTATTCCATAAAGAGATCACATTTAAAAGTGTTTTTCTGGTTAGACGTAATTCTTGAAGCTGCACAGTATCCTCTGTTTCTCAAACGGCTTCATAAAATTTTCAAGGGAAAAAAGACAGTTATTAATTTACATTTAATTTTTGTTTTAAGAATTAATTAAACTAATTTTAGAACAAGCATGACAGCAGTTTAACAGAGGAAACAGAGTGTCAGTACAATCATAAAACATAATCCCTGCCGAGTGATTAAGAAATAGATATATACTACCTATTTCTATTCTGAAAGAATTCGAGATGCTTCTCTGGACAAAGAGAGCACAGGCAAGAGAGTTCAAACAAACGACACATGAGTTCCATCTTTATTTTCTTTAGCTTTTGTTTTGATTGGCAAAGGGGTAAGAGGGTAGCTGTGTGCATTCCTATGGTGAATCCATGCCTATAATCCTTTTGTTCGGATCATATTGGATCAGTATAAAGGATGCTGTAGTGGGAGGGTTGTCCATGCAAATAGTAGAATATAATACTTCTGTCTGTATCTCTGTCTGCTCTAAAATGCATGGGAAATTGCTTTAATTCTGCTTTTTCTCGTATGTTCGTTTTGCACTAAGGGAAGATAGCAAAAATGTTTACACAGGTTTAATTCTTTAGCGTACAGAATGTAAGGGTAGAGTTAAAAATGCATTCTTGGATTGTGATCTTTCTATCATTTTGAAAATACCTTTACCTGTGCTCTGCTTTTACTTTTCTCCCCCACTCAAGTCCTTCCTACCACCAGCACTGTCCCTCCCCACCCCGAACAGGAGACTGCATGCTTCAGAGGCAAGTTTTCTCCCTATGATTAGTGGAGTTGGGCTCACGCATGAAAGGTCATCTGTCCAGAATTGAGTGAGCAACCCTTGTTGTCTTTGCCGAAGTAGTTTAATCCCCTGGATCTTTCTTTCGTTTTCTCTATTGGGAAATAGAAGACAGAAATCATTAGATTACATAATATAGCAGCCCTATATTAAGAGGCTTTCTTCTCTCTTGGTGATCAAACTACCAAAGGGGTAGCGTGGAGCTGAATGAAGACACCACCAGATTTCACAGTGTCACTGCTCTCATGCTTTCAACACCAGCCCTGGCCCGCCACCCGACAGCCACCTTCTGTCCCTGAGATGAACGTGCTGGAGCTCTGTTAGAGGCCAAGGTCACACAGTTGCAGCATGAGCCTTGGGTTTGTCCCGTGGCCTCAGACTACACCTCACACCAGTCACACCGCTGGTGTGTGACTTTGGTCCCGAGATGTCCAGGTGGGGTCTGGCAGTTCCATCTGACATCTCTTGTCTGCTCCAGGCACATGTCCTTTTGGAGGGCAGATTCACAGCACTGTCTGCAGACGGAGTGGTAGACTTTTCTCCAGGCGTATCTTTGTGTAGCCCCTCTTTGCCCTCTCATCCCTTCCCCCTCACCTGCATGTCCTTTCGAGGCATCCTTTTGTTGCTCATCCATGGGTTGGAAATTGTGAAATCAAGGGGGAGGGTGGTATCTGTGTGGCATGGCTGGGATGGGGCCAGGAAACCCAGACCATGAAGCCCCCAAGGGAAATGCATGGGGTGGGAAACTCATCTCCATAGTCACTGTGAGTGCAGGAGACATTGTTTCTCCTAGAGACACTGGAGCAGGGAGGCTGCACCCCCGAAGCCCAAGCTGGAGCCTAGGTCTTCTTTCCTGCTGTAGGACAGGATGTGGAGAACGGAGAGACATGGGAGAAAGCCGAAACCCACAGGAGACATGTGGCATGCGGAACTTTCCCTAGCCTTGGGCCCCTGCTTTCATCACTACCCCTGCTCCCCTGAGAGCCTCCATGGACACGCATACTATTGCTTTCCCTGTCTCTGTGGACCGAGACACGGATGTGCTGTGGTTCTTCCTTTTACTTGCTTTGTTTTAAAGCATCATTCCTTCTTGGTTAGTGGTAGACGTTTTTGTTTCGTTCTTATTTTTGATGTGTTCCCCCATTGCAGGTCAATTGTCTCCTCCAGCACAACCACATTCAGTTTGATTTGAAGGTATCTGGTCACCTTGATTGCTGAAGCCCCCTTCGGCCGGTGATCCAGCAGGGTTGCCTCATCTCTGATCCTTCCTTCCATGTTTTGTCCTTGCGTGTTGGTCTCTGGACTTCTCTGTGGCCCACAAGATGCAAGTGCCATGACTAACGTACTTCGTTTTACTCCCAACTAGCTTCCTCCCGCTCCGGATTCTGAGAACGCCACCGAGGTGTGTTGCCTGCCTATATTTGTAGTGCCAGTGCCAGCAAATATGGGTGCCTCTCGGTTGTCCTGGTTGGGTGTCTGAATTGTTGTGACAAAGAGTCTGTCCCAGTGGTAGATGTAGGAGGGAGGTCTCTAGGCTGGCTGCAAACAGATCATTGCTGTCGTGGATGTGGCTCTCAGTGTAGAAAGAAAGTCCTGAGGAGCTGGATCCAAACTGAGCATCCTCCAGGTGCCAGGACGTGGTTCTTTGAAAGTTCTCACTCAGAACCATCTTAATCATGAGACGTTTAGTTGAGACATGTGAGGATGTTTGTATAACAATTTCTGCTGTTATACAAAATTGACTTTGGGTCCTGTGCAGAGATGATACAGTTTTGAAGTTATTCTAAATTAATAATAAAGAATATTTATAATTGTAAAAAAAGCTGCTAATAAACTTGTAATTTTAGAATGCACTTTTTAAAATCTTTTTATTTTTTGAGACAAAGTCCTGCTGTCGCCCAGGCTGGAGTGCAGTGGCACAACCTTGGCTCACTGCAACCTCTGCCTCCTGGGTTCAAGCGAATCTCCTGCCTCAGCCTCCTGAGTAGCTGGGATTACAGGCATGTGCAACAACGCTCGGCTAATTTTCATATTCTTAGTAGAGATGGGGTTTCCCCATGTTGGCCAGCCTGGTCTCAAAACTCCTGACCTCAGGTGATCCGCCCGCCTCAGCCTCTGAAAGTGCTGGAATTACAGGCATGAGCCTCTGCGCCCAGCCTACAATGCAGTTAAAAAAAAAAAAATCCTTCTTGCTACTAACTAAACTCACTAAATGAGGGACTAACATTTCCTAAGGTGTGTAAGATCATAGAGAAGCTTTTTGGGGAGACATATTTCCAAGTATCAAAATTTAATTTCAGAAACTATTCCAAAATCACCGTAGTTCAAGCTAGAATGAAGTGTACTTCATTTGAAAGAAGCCTTAAAAATGAAACATGAACAAATGATTGAATAGCGAAGTTGTATGTCTGTGTTTTCTAATGATCAGTGTTTAATATCCTAATCGGAGCTCCTCATTCTGTTAACAGTTTTGTTACAAGACTTGTGTACTCGTGGGGCGGGGAGAGCCGTGGTCCCATGTCTGTGTCTGCTCAGAGGCGTGTGTCTTGATGTCCTTATGCATGTGCTGTGCAATGATGCATGTATGAATCATAAGAACCTGCCCTATTGAACCTTGAATTACAACCCTTTTTGGGTTAATGTCACAGCATATAATATAGAACAACTTCTTCATGGTCTTTGCAATAAATTATGTTGGCCAAAAAGTCCTATGTCTGCCCATTTTAAACAGTGCATTAGGGTCGGGGGTATGGGACAGTCATTAAGCAGCATCTAAAGTAATCGAGCATGGATATTCGGGGGAAAAACAAAAATCTAGACCTATTCTCCTTTTGTGTAACTCTTGTCTATATATGAACTCTCAACGTATTTTATGTGTGACTGATGCTGCAGATGGTAGTGTCTCCTTAGTGTTGTACTTAAAATGGAATTTCTGCATGCCTAGCAGGAGCTTGAACCAAGTCCACCCCTGCGGCAGCTGGAAGACCATAAAAGGGTACGTAGTCTTGAGTCTTGGGTATTGGGAGCTAATGATCAATGACCATCACACATCCATCAACCACACACTGTGATTGAGAGGCAGCTTTTGTTGTTGATATTGTTAAAGCACTAATTGACTCAAGAGCAATCACAGCCATGTATATAAATGAAACTAAATAGTGGTTCTGCCTGTTGTCTACCTGATCAGAGCACTGTAACCAGCTGGCCTCTAAATAATGACCAACTAAGCTTTTCATGTCCTTTTTTCTTTTCTGTGGTGGCTTTCTATTTAGGTGAAATGTTAAAAAAAAAAAAAAAAAAAAAAAAAGAAAGAAAAACTGTAATGGCTGACGACCATTATAGATAATTTATAATAACAATAATGGAAAAAAGTTCATAATTATATTACCTAGCCACAAGAGCCACTAATGTTTTTGTTATTTGGGTGGTTTTTTAGAGACAGATATCACTCTGTTGCTCAGGCTGGAATGTAGTGGTGCGATCTCAGCTCACTGCAGCCTCAACCTCCTGGGCTCGAGATCCTCCTGCTTCAGACTCCCGAGTAGCTGGGACCGTAGGCACCATGCCCAGCTAGTTTTCTTTTATTTTTTATTTTTGTAGAGACAGAGTCTTGCTATGTTTCTCAGGCAGGTCTCAAACTCCTGGGCTCAAGCAATCCCCTTGCCTCGGCCTCCCAAAGTGCTGGGATTACAGGTGTGTGCCACCATGCCCAGCCCCACTAATGTTTTAATATTTCCTTCTACCCATTTTTTTATACACATGAGCACATGTGCTAACAGACACAGGCACATTTGCATTGTCATTGGGATTATTCTAAGTATACAACTTTTGTACCCTGTTTTGTTATTAAATACCGTATCTGAGCATTTGTTTTGAAAATCTTTGAAAGTTAACAGCTGCCTGAAATTCCCCAAATTGACAGGTGGTTCATCATTTTTTCCTTTGATGAAGAAATGAATGAATGTGTGCATCTTTGAATAAATTCCTAGAAGAGGAATTCCTTGGCCAAGGGGTAGATGTGTTCTTAAGGTGCTGATTGTGCCTTGCCAAACCATTTCTAGAAGATTGTATATATCCATGAGCATGCCAACAGCACTGATTTTCATGTTGCCCATTTTTGGGAAGATAACCAGATGTCCTGGTGACACAGGCTTCATCCTCATTTCACAAGTAGGACGTTGAGATTCTGGGATGTTCAACATCTTGTCTAAGGTCATGGAGTTCAAAAATGACCTGTCACTCTGAAGACTGTCTTGGAACTATGATCATTGGTGTCTAGGAGAATTTTTCTATTATGTTTGTGGGTACATAGTAGGTGTATGTATTTATGGGGTACATGAGATATTTTGACAGAGGCACACAATGTGAAATACTCACCATGGAGAATGGGGTATCTATTCCCTCCAGCATTTATCCTTTGAGTTGCAAACAATTCAATTACACTCTTTAAGTTACTTTAAAATGTACAATTAAGTTATCGTTCACTGTAGTCACCCTGTTATGCTATGAAATAGCAGGTCTTACTCATTTTTTTAACATTTTTTTTTTGGTACCCATTAACCTTCCCCACCTGCCGCCTGTCTTGGAGAATTGATGCCTGAGATAAATGGGGAGCCAGATGCACCTTTACTCTGCTCACACACCCAGGCCCCTGCCCAGTCCCACTGCATCCTAAATCCCTTTTGTTTTCTTGCTCTGATAGAGACATCAACTTTGATTTCTCAGACTAGGACCGGAGAATAGCTCCAGGAAGTTGGCATTTCAGCAGAATTCAGGACGTGATGCTATAGTCCTTCTTCTCCAGCTTCCTGTATCTCCTGCATTTCATGGCCCAAGGCACCTTGCATTCTTCTATTTTCCATCCTTGCCTACCCTTTAGAATTGTCCCAGGTCCTAGGAGTAGCTGGTAAACGCACACAGCTGTCCCTCATGTCCTAAGCTCTCAGAGGACTTGGTATTGAATGCTGCCTATGCCCGTGAACTTTATAATTAGAAACAGGTTCAAGTTTTGGGGTTTTCTTTTGCCAGGTACTAGCTGTGTGATTTTGAGCAAGTTAACCTCCCTATGCCTCAGTTTCTTCTGCTGTAAAATGGGAGTGACAACAGTCCCCATACCTTAGGACACTGAGCTGTGCACATGAAGCTCTTAGCACAGTGACTGGAATATGATAAGGGATATTAACTTGTAGATACCTTGTGGATTGAAACATTGAGGTGATTTTGTAGACAACAAGAGGAGAAAGAAGGTATTTTAAAATCCAGGCGCTACCCTCATGCTGACTAAGGTGTGAGAGGCTCACAGCTCACATGAGAGGGCGATCTTGCCTGAAGCACATGATCTTTAAGTGGCTGGAACCTGGGAAACCGAAAAGGTCAGTTCTCTCTCTCCTTTGTGTGTGGCAATGTTAACTCCTTAGTGCCTTGTTCAACACTGGCTCTCTTCCCATGCAGTTCCTTCACTTATTTAGTTCAATTGGTATCAGTGGAACACATGTTGGTAGAGTGACCAGTAGGAGCTTGGTTTCATTACTCCACATCACTAATCTACCAATTTTCATTGTTTTAATGTGACACTTATTACAAATGACTTTTTCTTTTCTCAATCTTAGGTAACAATGTGTGGGAATTTCTGACTGAGACAAACATCTGATATTTGTTTGCATACTGTAGGTGTAAACTGCTGGAAAAAAACTGGTATTATTTTTAAAAAGGGTTGCACAGCCAAATGTTAAAGCTGAAGAAGTGACGTTATTTGAGAAGTCATTTTTTTTTTCCTTCTCTGCAATCAGATTTCTCAGCCTGGTACACTGTGAACAGCTTAGTGCTGTTGAGTAATTTATATCAAGATGATTAGGAAGGCTTTTCTCTGCAGATTTTAATTTTTCTTAAATTAAACCACTGTCTCAGAAAAACAGAATTTTCCTTGAACCCGAGTTTTCACACTAGGGATTTGCATAACTTTTAATGATTCTTATCCATTTTTCCTTTCTATCTCCTCTTACCTATAATTCTCAGTCTTTATTCTTTCAAAAAAGGAATGCATCTCGTCTTTTTAAACCCTTGCTCTCTGTTTTTTCTTCCTTGCAGTTTAATTTTGTGTGTGTGTGTGTAGAGAAGGTGAGATGAATATGTGCCAAAAACCTTATAATTAAAAGCAAAAAAAAAAGTTTGTGGGGTGGAATGTGGTTTTTTTTTTTTTTTTCTTTTCCCCAGAATGAGCACATTTCATGATATTCTCTTATGGGGGAAAATGTACCATTTGATGCATCAGTTGCTATGGTAACTGCTAGGGTTTTTCTGTTGAAGGAGAGACAAAATGGTAATGTGAGATCCCTTTGTAACTTGAGTTTGGCATCCAGACTGCATAAATGTGGAGTTCCTGTTCCTGGCGTCCACGTGCTCCTTTCATTACCTCCTGCTTGCTTGATTGCAGACTGACCAGGGTCTTGCTGTTCACCCTCAAAACCATGAGGAGGGGGAGAAAAAAAAAGCCGCCACCGGAAATTGAAAATCTAAGCAAGTCATTCTAGCTCCAAGTGGAATTGTGGTGTGCAGGCTCCAGATGAGACCTCCTTAAGAGATGTGTGTTTGTTGACTGGTCACAGCCATACTGCCTTTGACTTGACCACTCAACCCTATGCACTTTCAGATTCCTGTTGCGATGGCTACGTTGGCTGTCTTCCCTGACTGCAGCTTATGGGTCTCAGCCCAGCCGTCTAGCACTCAAACAATGTTCTCACAGTGCCAGAGGGGATTCAGTTAGAGACTTGGGATGGTCAACTGCCAATCACTCCTGTTGCTGGAACTCAAAGTCTGTGTCGTATTGAAAGAGAATCAAATAGATTCATTATGATATTTAAAAAGGGAAATCATATTTAATCTATCATATTCAACATATTTAATCTATCATATTCAACATATTTAATCTATCATATTCAACATGGAGACAACCTTTTCTTGCCCTCAATTCTTTCTTCATAGGCATTCTTGAATGTAGCTTTAAAACTTGTGCTTCTCTTATGAAGTCAGCCTTTTAAATCACTGTCTTCCCAGTGACTTCTCCAGAGAGTGCTCATGTGTTTACACTGGTGCCTGAGACTGGAATACCAGTAAAGTTGTATCTTTGTTCCGGAATGGGGTCTTCTAAGTCATTAAAGAATCTTGCACTGAAACTTTCTTCCCCACCTGTGAGCAGTTTATTTAAAAAGTACTTAAAATATCACAAGTAACTTGCCCATTTGAAGCACTCTTGGAATTCTGAATTTACCGTCGGTCCAGTGAGAAATGAGTTTCATGAGCTGATAGAAGTTACCCTCCTTTGCCGAACTATGAAGAGAGACATATTTGTGGGTGGAATGGAAAGAGGAAATTTGGGATTTTTTTGTTTTCTGCACATTCATTTAAAAATCAGTCCCCTCCCGTCTCCCCTGTTTATCCCATCCCAATCTGTCCCTGGAATCTTTAATTAGCAGCATGAATTAAAGAGTAGATAAACCTTTTCTGGGACTTTCAGCGGTTTTGATGATTGACAGGAGCCAGGAGTTTCCTGCCTATCTCCTTTCTTCCTTGGTCCCCCACTTCTCCCAGGGTACCTCCCATTTCCCAGGGTCCCCGCTTCAGTCTGCTCCCTCCCGTCTTGTTTTGCAAACGCCTCACTTGAAATCTCCAGACCTATTCTCAGAGCTTATTAACAAATCATTTTAAATTCTACTGACTCATGGTTCAGTTGCAGGTCTTTTCAAAAGAACTCTTGAGTCTCTGTTTTAGAGACCTGCTCCATTTCAACACCTTTCGTCTCGGCCAGACTTCTTTTCCCTCACCTCTCTTGATGATGCACCAGAGGAACTCCATGCCTTGCTACTTTCATTCTGGAAAAGAGTCCAGGGAAGATTTTTACAGCCTTTGACTTTTAGAGCCTTCAGATTGGGAGGTGATCTTAGGGCCCCTTAGAAGCGCGGCTGAAGGTGTAGAGCTGAGAATGCAGAATGCAGCTGCCTCTGGTTACCTGCTTGCCAGCATCCCCCATTATTACTGAACAATGGAGGTTTTTTAGGTTAGAGTAATTACAAAGAGTTACTGTATCCCTGTTCAGGACTCTTTGATACTTATACTTTTAACAAATTTTATTATAGAAAAGTTGAAATCTGTATAAAAGGAGTCAGAAAGGTTTCAAAACCCCTCATTCATAACTCCGCTTCAACAGCAACTGTCAACTCATGCCTACTCTTGTCTCACTTATATCCCTTGCTGCTTCCCCTTCTCTCCTGTATTGTTTTAAAGAAGATTCCAGACAAAATGCCATTTTACCTATGATGGGTTTTTTTATATATTTGATATCTGCCACTCATGCCACTAATTTATTTCCTATAGCATTATGAGGTTTTTGTTGTTTTTGTCTTTTGTTTTTTAAAACATTTGGCCCATTGACTATTTTTGTAAGAAAGGCTTACTTTTGGCTTATTGTATCATCTTACCCTATTACTCTGAAATCTTAATATTTTTTTGGACCTTGGGAATAAACCTTGTGCTTGAAATAACATTTTTATATTGCTGTGTGGAAGCTGACCTGTAAGCATTTTCAATTTGTCTTAATTTTATCAACTTACCCCAAAGGGATTTATGTTTGTTATTGTTAGTTGTCCTTCAAAATTACTGTTCTGTCTTATCATTGTGTGAGAGGGTACTTCAGTCAATATTTTAGATTGCTACCATTTTTTAAAAAAACATCTGGTTTTCTGAGAAAATATTGAAGTTAACTTCAGAGTTTCTAAATGCTTCTATTAATAATTTATTTTTTCACTAAGTGAAACTGGGCCAATTATAACTGAGTACCCCTGTGTGTTTTGAATATTCGTCACTCAGTTATGCATTAAATGCAGAACCTGATTTTATTATCCTGTTTGAATTAAGGGTGAGGCGCTCAGGCAAATTCTGGTCAACCGTTACTATGGAAACATCAGACCTTCGGGAAGAAGAGAGAGCCTTACCAGCTTTGGCAATGGCCCACTGTCACCAGGAGGACCCAGCAAGCCTGGGGGAGGAGGTAGGCTTTGTGGTGTAATTAGCTTCATGTGTGAATCAAGTGTGTTCTCTGATAGCTGCATGTTTCCTCCTAACAGGTTGAAACGCTAACAACAGATGAATTTGTGTTGCAAGTGTATTTTTTAGCAACTTGTTTTGTCTTTGGTCTACCACCAAATTGATGTCTAAACATATTTTCCTGCAAACTAGCATTTCCCTGCAGCTAGATAGTGGCTAAGCCTTTTGCTCCTCCTTCCCATGCAGTGACCATCTTGGTGATATTTGAATGATTTGAGGGATTTGATTTTATTGCACTTTGTCCTGTGGTTGTTAGGACTCTTGTCTTTCTGTAAAATGATGAGGATATTGGCACCCAGGATAGTGAAAGCTGCCGTTTATTATACATTGACTGAGTGCCAGGGGCTTTCCTAAGTGCATTGCATTCTTTACCTCCTTTTCTCCTCCCAGCTGCTCATCATGTGATAGGTACAGTCTATCCCAGTTCCACAGAGGAAATGGAAGCTTGTCAGTGGCTGGTCTGTAATTTCAGCCTGGTGCATCTAATTCTAATGCCGTGTACATCCACAAACTCCTATGGAAGTATACAAAAAACATCCCTGTACAGAAGTGCTTACTTTAAATCGGTTTAAGCACCCTTACAGGTAAAAGATACAAAAACATGGAACTCAAAGGTGGGTCTTACCGAGTTTGTGTTTTTAGGCAGTGCTCAGCACAGATGTGAGTTGCCTGATTTCCTGTCTTATGGTGATGACTGTGGGGTAGCTTCAGATCCTTGGTGGGTTCCATGCATAGCACAGAAATACTCAGCGTACACTTAATTTGTCCTAGCACATGCTAAGGAGGAAGCTTGGATTGCTCCCTAAATGAAAACTGGAAGCATAGCTGCCCAGTTCATGGAGTTATGCCAGCCTCAATGAAGATGCAGTTCTCAAGGCATCCGAGAGGTGGGAACTTGGCCTTTCAAGTCCAAAAATCGATGCAGAGGTTCTTCACATAATCTCTCAAAACCATTCTCTTTACTTTCTGTAGTGAGGTCATTTAACAATTATGTGAAGCCCTTGGGGAGGCATCATGACAGGGATTTGGAAATGCAAGACAGACTCCGCTCTGAGAAGCTGTAGCAGAGAGAATGTGCAACCCAATTTCTACCTTGTGCTATAGATATAAGGACAAGTCAAGGACAAGCAGTATAAAGGAGGTGACACTGGAATTGAGTTCTGCCAGAAAGGACAGATAGACAATTTTCTGCTTTTTGAAGCTGATCAGCCCATTTCTCCATGTGCGTTCATGTTTTGGTTATTGCCAACAGTAATACAAGGCAAGTCCTTAAATACGTACCTTCCAAACACAGTCAAAATCCATTCTAAATGGCCCTCTCTTCTTAAGTATACTCATCTCCTCTGAAGTGCAGTGAGAACAGGAACCTTGTTTTGTTCACTCCCCCATCCCCAGCTCTTGGCTCCATGCCAAGCAGTGAGCAAACATTTGTTGAATGAATGAACCGATGAATTATGGAAAAGAGTAAGTTGGGGGTTAGAGTGGGCTTGTTAAAAAGAGGGCTAAAGTGATCATTATAGGCTAAGCTTCCTTGAGAGTGTTCTAAGAAGTGTTTGACTTTGGTTTGTTTCTGAAACCAGTTCTGAACTCTGCCACCAGTCATTGTGTTTAATGTAAGGGAGAGTCTTTGCTGGCTGGCTTTAGGTCCCTTGCTGGAAATATATCATTCTTTTTGCATCTTACCTGTCTGAATTCAGACACCATCTCTGCTGCTGACAAGCTGGTGTCCTTGGACAAACATCTTCATCTCTGTGTCAATACTCAGTTCTTTCCTTGTGGGGTTAAAAGGGTTAAAGAGATGAACATGGGTAAAACATTTAGTGCGTAAAGTGTTGGTGCGTAGTAAGTATGCAGCAAACATTAGCTGTTCTGATTATGCTTAGTAAAAACAATATTCCATCTTCCTAGGGGGAGGTTCCGGATCCAGCTCTATGAGCAGGGGTGAGATGAGTCTGGCCGAGGTTCAGTGTCACCTTGACAAGGAGGGGGCTTCCAATCTAGTTATCGACCTCATCATGAACGCATCCAGTGACCGAGTGTTCCATGAAAGCATTCTCCTGGCCATTGCCCTTCTGGAAGGAGGCAACACCACCATCCAGGTAGGAAGGCAGCTTGGCTGCGGGTGTGGCATCCCTGCTGAGCAGGAGGAGAGTCTGTTCTGGGAGCCAGATGCCTGGGTGGTACCAAGGCTTGTTTGGGAGACAGCTCATTCTGAGGGCACAAAATTCTGTTTTGAAAAATGAATTCTACTGGTATCCTGTTGTGATCATTTGGTCATAAATCAGACTTGGTTCCAAAACGTGAGTTACATTTGAAAATTGATAAAACACTGAGAATATGCAAAGGAAATTGGCGTAAGTTCTAGGACATAGTGGACACTCCATAAATGTTTGTTGAATGAGTAAATGATTGCATGAAGTTTATTTATAGTTTTTATCCAAGATTGCAGGGGATCTCATCACAGGATAACCAAAAGAGTTTGAACTGTGTGTGCTATTTAGAAGATTTAATTTTTATGTATCTGTAGATACTGCAGCTGTTGCTTACTAGAAGTTTCTCTACCTTTTGACTGAAAGTTTAATAAAGCCAAACCAATTTGAAATAATAGAGACACCAGGCTATGTTAGTCAGAAATGAATAGATGACTTTTTGAAAGGTAGATATGATTTATATTTAAAACTAATAATAAAAACTCAAATCTATTTCTAGTTCACTTTTTATAGATGTCCTAAAAAAAATTTTCATGATTTTTTTCCCATAACAGTCATCTTAGAACATGAATTTTAATAATACATAAATAATATAACTTCTATATATGATTCCTTTAAATATTTTTAATACCTCCTTTATGTACTCTTCCTTCTTTGTTAGCTCTCTGAATAAGAGTTTTTTTTTGGATGTGTATCTGTGTGCAGACTTGTGTACACATACACACACATATGTATTTTGATAAAAGCTTTATAGAGATACAGTCCACATACCATAAAATTCATCCTGACATATATATTTGACCTGACATATTCTTGGCCTTGAATTGAAATTCAGAGTCTCGGTTAATGAAGTCTTGGTTCTTTGTGCAACTTTGAAAAGGGCGTTTCTTCCTGTGAGTCACTGTGCCCTGGGCCAGGGTGCCTGGCTTGGCAGGTGCAGCACAGTGAGATTTCAGTCCCTGCTTGCTCCCCCAGCCAGCACCCTTGTGCCTTGGCACAACCTATGCAGCCAACTGTGGTGGCCCTTTTATTTCGCCTTCCAATCCCCGCTTGCCCCAGTGTACACTTTTGAAAGTTCATTATCATGCATTGCACCAGGTTGGGGTTTGTGACAATGAGTTAGGCACCTGGGCCAATGGCAAGGCCCACTGCTTGTCTAAGTTGTTACATGGGCACAAGTCATACATATTGGGATTGCTTTTCATTTTGTCATGTGTGTGTGGGTGGGTCCTGCAGTCCTTCTCATCATTGGAATGTTGCCCAGCCACTGCTGTTTTCTGGGCTCCTGTGTTGGGATGGAAGCAGAGCTGAAATGCTCCTTGTCTTTGAACCACATGATTTCCTGTGATTAGAGCAGTTGAACTGCATACTCACTGAGCCCTTTCTGTGTATGTGCAGCTATACCAGGGGTGATGGGGCAATGGTTTCCAGACATGGGAGCCAATTCGTCTATGAGAATTTTCTCCAGGCATAGTCAAGTGTGGAAAATGAGGACAATGTGGTGAATTTTTCATAAACCAATGTATTCAGTTTGAAGACCTGGCCATTTTATTCTGAGATTATATCTCTCCAACCTTTATTCTTAGCCACAGTGTCTTCTTTAATGAAATGGTGTTGATTATAGATCATAGATTTTTTTTTTTCTGTTGGCC